ACTATTTCTATTGTTTACTGAGAGAAGAGTGTAGAAGACTCCAACTGTAATTGTGGATTTGTCTACTTCTCCTTTCAGTTCTGTCATTTTTTGCCTCATGTATTTTGAGGCTATTTTGTTAGTTGAACACACTTTTAGCATTGTTCTGTCTTCTTGGTGAATTGACTCATTTATCATTATGTAGTGTCTCTCTTTATTGGTTATTTTTATTTGCTTTGATGTCTACTCTGTCTGATATTAAATACCCATTCCATCGTTCTTTTGGTTAGTGTTTGCACGGTGTATCTTTTTTAGCCTTTTAGTTTTAACTTACCTATATTATTATATTTGAAGTGAGTTTCTTGCAGACAGCTTATGGTTATGTTTTTTTTTTTAAAAGAAATCCATTCTGGTGATCTGTCTTTCAATTTTTTTTTTTAAGGATTGACACCTGAGCTAACAACTGTTGCCAATCTTCGTTTTTTTTCTTCTCCCCAAAGCCCCCCAGTACATAGTTGTCTATTCTAGTTGTGAGTGCCTCTGGTTGTGGCATGTGGGACACCGCCTCAGTGTGGCCTGATGAGCGGTGCCAGGTCCGTTCCCGGGATCTGAACTGGTGAAACACCGGGCTGCCAAAGCGGAGCGCACGAACTTAACCACTTGGCCATGGGGCTGGTCCCTCAATTATTTTTAAACCATTTATATTTAATGTAATGATCGATACTTTTGGATTTTGGTCTACTGTATTTTAAATCTGTTTCTGTTTGTTCTGTTATTTCGCCTGAATATATTTTGGTATTTTAATTTGTCTTTTATGTTTTTTTCTGTATCTCTTTGTATATTTTTTAATGGTTCTTTTAGGGATTATAATATGCATACTTAACTTTTCAGTCTACTTAAAATCAATCTTTTACCACTTGAAGAGGAATGTAAAAACCTTACATCCATATAGGTCTCTTCCTTCTTTATAATTGTCTTATGTCTTACATTTACATGTGTGGAAAACTCCATCACAGTGTTATAACTTTCATTTTTTCTTGAGTTTCAGAACTCAAAAAAATACATTTTCCCTGATATCTACCATTTCTGTTGGTCTTCCTTCATTCCTGCTCTTTCATGTTTCCTACTGGTGTAATTTCCCTCTGTTTGAAGATCATATTTTAGCTATTCTTTGAGAACAGGTCTGCTGGTGACAAATTCTCTTAACATTTTTTCATCTGAGAATGTCTTTTTTCACCTTCATTCCTAAAGGGTATTTTTGCTGTATATAGAATTCTGGGTTGACAGTTACAACTTTTAGCATTTTAAAAATATTATGCCACTTCCCTCTGGCTTCCTTGGTTTGTGATGAGGAATTCACAGAAATTTGAATCATTGTTTTCCTGTATGAAATGTATTGTTTTTCTCTGGTTGCTTTCAGAACTTTTTCCTTCTCTTTAATTTTCAGCAATTTTTCTGTTTCAGTTTCAGCAATTATTATGTATGTAGGCATGAGGTTTCTTTGTGTTTATTCCTGTTTTGGGTTCACTGAGCTTCTTGAATATGTAGGTTTATGTCCTTTGCCAAATTTAGCAAGTTTTCAGCTAATATTTCTTCAAATACTTTTTTCTTATCACACTCTTTATTTGGGAGAAAGAGAATATAACAGTTGGGTGAAATGTAGGGTTTACATTAGAAGAGTTTTCCTCGATACTTTTTTTTAAAAAACTTGGCAACTGCCACAGTTTATCTATGTTATAGTTTAGTGAAAGATAATGTATCTGATTTAACACATAATTATCTATTTAAGCTTAATAAATGGAATAATGTGTTTGTTTAAGGATAATAAGTAAGATAACATATCTGTTCTGCAAAGACAACCATGACTACTAAGGACTTTGCCACCTAAACAAGTTGAAAACCCACTGTTAGTATTAAGAAACTATTAAAGGTGTTTTTTGTTTTGTTTTGTTTTGTTTTGGTGAGGAAGACTGGCCCTGAGCTAACATCTGTTGCCAATCTTCCTCTTTTTGCTTGAGGGATCCGAATCCATGAACCCTGGGCCACTGAAGCAGAGCATGCAAACTACGCCAGTGGGCTGGCCCCTCAAGTGTTTTTGTTTTTTTGAGCAGAAGAATGAAATCTGAAGGTAGCATTTAACTGATATTAATCTGGTGGCAATGTGAAGAATATCTTGCCTAGTGCCAGGGAGTAAGTCCATTAGATCATTGCAATCATAACAGTTCATGTATGAGATGATTAAGAGCTTAGAGAATTGTGGAAATAAAAATAGACAAGAGATGTTGTATAGGATGAATTGGTATGACGTGGTGATGAATGGGTCATGTGTGTTTGTAGGAAGATCCAAAGGATCTGAGTCTGGGTGGTTTGAAGAAAATATGGTATCTTTAACAGATATATGACATTTAGGCGAACTGTCATGCCAAGACCATGATAGGTTTGACTCTAGGTCTATTGAATTGAACAATTTATTGACATCCAAGTGAAAAAACACATTTGGGAGTTGGTTGTGAGACTGGATTGAAGAGAGGTCAAAATTTGAGATAATAGATAGAAACATTTGCAGTTGGGTGATCACTGAAACTATCTAAATCTAGGCATCACTGTGGGGGGAAAAAACAAGATCACCAAGGACTGAACTCTGGTTTTATTAATTTCATCAGTAGGAAAGGAATATTAAAGAGCATCTTTGAAGTTAATAAGTAATGTTATTACCTATTATAAAACACATTTGTAGAGTACTTATTTTAATGTGCATTGATTGGGTACTTTTTTGTTTGTGAACTTTAAATTAAGTGGTCTTTTATAGTAAGATATGAATAAATTTTAAATGAAATCAATAGATAAATGTTCCTTCCGTGTGTAAAACATAATTAGGCACTGAATAACATTCAAATAACATTTTCTTCTTCTCATATGGCACATTGTTCTTGGTAACTTTTGGAAGGTATGTGTGTATATATCTTTCTGTTGCCTACTTAGAATTAGTCTTGCCTCAGACCCTGTTTCATTTAGATACTTGTTTTGGTTTGTTAATTATTTCTTCCTCCACTTGTTGGCTATTGTGCCACTAGTGCAGCAGCCACCATTGACTGCCAATTGAGTGTTCAAGATCACTTGTTCCACCAGAGTGGTACACACGAAGAATCTTGACATTGAGTTTTTCCCTTAGTCCGGAAATATTCTTAAACGAGTGACATTCAAATTTATCTCTACGCAATAAATTTTTTAGAAACTGAAAGGAATGAGCACAAAAATACTCCTTAGGAGAAGCTGCGTAAGCAAAAATGCTGGCACTGATGTGCATATGTTTCTGGCTATCTTCTCCTCTTTACTCCTACCTGCTGATATTTTTCCACGGTACACAATCTATAAAGGCTTCAGCTCCAAAGTCTTCCCCACCATTATTGTGCTCTTTGTTCCTTTACTGGAATTGGCAGAGAATTAGATGAATGTGAAGAGTGATAACAGGAAAAACTGATATTTTTATTATGGGCTGACATGTGTCTTTGGGCTTTAAGTCTTAGAAAAGTAGGAATTCCAATAAGATTGGTATGTCATTTTGGTATATCATGGTTGCCTCAAATTAGTAAACATGACTTTTATAAAACTCATTTGTATATGTGAATATGTTCCAATTAATTCATTAAATTCTTGTCATTTTCACTAATATATTTCCATTTAATATTTCATCTCCTTGAATCTAAGCTTTTAGTAGTGCAGAGTTCATAGAGAATCACACACTATGTATAAGCAATCATTGAGATTATCATGTTCCTCCTTGTTAAGCAATTTCCTCATCCATTTCCCAGTTTATTGCATGGGTTGGCATGATACAATGGAAAGCACACTGACCTAATGGCCAGCATACCTGGGTTCTAGCCCCAGCATATAACCCCAGCTGTTTACCTTCTGGATCCCAATCTTCCCAAAAATAGAATATTTGCTGAACCTATGTCACAGGCCTGTTATAAGTTTTAAAGAAGAGTACTTCGAATATGGAGGCTTTGCAGTATCTTTTGCATATTCCATATTTTTTTCACAATTAAAAAAAATGCCATAACAAATGTACAAGAAATCTTCACATGATTATTTATTAAATCCCTGAAAATGTTACTGTGCTTAAATTTCACAAGTGTATTTCCTAAAATTCATTTTAGACCCACTCTGTAAGTTTTGGCTTGTAAATCAGTCAGAGGAATTGGAAGTTTATGAGTCTGTTCTTTGAGAATGATTTAGTAGAAGTTTGTAATAGTACTAAATAGTTTAAGGACTTAGTGTGACATTCAGATTAGGAAACTGATGGCGACATCTGTAATTGATTTCTTTTCTGTATTTGGACATCTTGTGCTCCAGAACTCATGAGGCTCACAAACCATCTGCATCCTTGTTTCCGCTATTCTAGATACACATTCATTTTATCATTAACAAACAAATATTGGTAAAAAAATTAAATGAGATTCTACTTTTTTGAAGCTCGTTGAAAGTCAGTATGGTATATTGAAAAGAGAGAGTCATCATCTAGGCTTTAGAGTTCTAGGCCTGGCTCTGCTGGTAACTAATTGCAAGAACTCAGGCTTGACAATTTACTTTTTCTGGGCCTCATTTCCCTATTATAAAACAAGTGGTTTGGATTAGACTTCTATGGTTCTTTCCACTTTTAACATTCTGTGATTGTTTTTTAACTCCTCTCTCTAAGTATCTATCTGAGGAAACTGATGAAAAGATTAGAGTTGATACTAATTTTTTGGAGATACTATTCATTATATTTGACTTATACCTAAGGTGACCATACCATATAATTTTCTATCCAAACAAGAGGAAACTTTTGAAAGTGAAAAGGATACTGTTAGTAATTACTTCAGGACGACAGCTTTAAACCAGGACTGTCCCAGATAAACTAAAATGTCTGATTACCCTATCTGTACCCCATGTGTGGTTCTGTCAACTGCATTGTTGACCAAAGATGAGTATTTATCAGTTTTAATTCCTTTTCATGGTTTCCCTGTTTTTTCTTATAGATCCACTCTGTGTGGAGAGTAATGCAGCATCATGCCAGCAATCTCCAGCTAGTAAAAAGGGGATGTTCACAGATGACTTACACAAACTGGTGGATGACTGGACAAAGGAAACAGTGGGAAATTCTCTTATTAAGCCAAGTTTAAATCAACTTAAACAGAGTCAACACAAAGTAGAGACAGACAACTGGAACAAAGTACATGAAGTAAGTGGTTTATACCCAATCTTCTTTATTTATGAGAACTAAAACCATAAAAATTGATTTACTTAGGCCTATGGTTACAGTCACTATGAGAGAGTGGTGTGACCTGACAACATGAAGACTTTTATCCTTGTCTAGATTCATATGTCTTTGAGCAAATCATCTTTTAGACCAGAGGTCAGCAGACTTTCTGGGAAGGGGCCAGTTAGTAAATGCAGTTGCAATTACTCAACTGTTCTTGTAGTGCAAAAGCAGCCATAGGCAACACATAAATGAACAGGCACGGCTGTTCCATTAAAACTCGATTGGCAAAAACAGGTGGCAGGCCATGGATTGCTGACCCTTGTTTTAGACTATTATACCTGAAAAAAACCATCAAGTATCAAAAAAAGCATCTGGAGTGAGGGTTAATTCAATCCCGTGTTGCCAGAAGAATTTGGGTTTTGAGGAAAAGCTATCTTATGTTGTACATCAATATTCTTAGGGCCAATAAGTTATATTATTTGTTCAGTATGAAAAAGAATTGTAAAGCTCTTTAAGCTAGAATATTATAAAAAGTGTCTTAAGTTTATGGGCGAGATGCCTAGTTAATTACATATGGCCTTAGGTGTACATGCAATTGAAATGTAAAAAGATGTCCACAATGCATTCTGGAGTGGGAAGAGGGCACAGTATTTATATAGTATTTATGTAAAATTATATACATTAGATATATGTTTATATGCCTAGAAATAGGAAAAGCCATTAATAATGTGCTGGATGGTGGAATTTGGGCCTTATTTTACTTTGTACTTTTCTGTGTTTGAATTTTTAAAGTAAGTGTCATTCTTTTAAAATGAGTAAATGTTAAAATGTAGATCAGAACTTAGAATCTAAACCATCACAATTGAAAGAGACATATCTGTGTGTGTCTGTTAATTTGTGTACATGTATTCGTCTATGGATAGTCACTGCATATAGTTTGGTAAAGAAAGTCTGAAAATACATGTAGTCTTAATGTTGAATAAAAATTTTCAAAAGCCTAGATTTCCCAAACTAGTAAGCTATGTAAGCTTGGGGGCTCTGTGTATTTATCTTACTCCTGGCACTGACTTATATACTGATAGTATCACCATTGTAAAAACTGGAAGGCTTTAGAGGCAAATTTCAAGGCAGAAATGCATTTGTGCTGCCAGTGGGAGATCCTCTGAGTAGGGTGTGAATGGAGGCTTTTGTAGACTAGAAACAGGGTGGTTTATTGCAGTATAATAGGGGATGTTTGGAGGAAGAGTGGGTAGAAAATGGAGTATGAATAGAAGTGATGAAGATCTTTAAACAGACTTGGGTTCCAGTGTCAGCTCAGTCACTTACTAGTTGTGTGATTTTAGTTAAGTCATTTGTGCCTCCATTTTCATGTCTTTAAAATAGGGATAATACTGACCTGCCTTGCAGGATTGCTGCATGGATTAAATGAGGTAACACCTATAAAGTGCCTAGCACATAGTAGTACCCTACATATGGTAGTTATTTTGTATTTTTAGGTCCAGTTGATTATGTCTTTGTGTGGAGAGCCCATCTCGCTATCTAATGCTCTTGCATGTTACTGTTCTGTAGCCTTACTTAGAAAATTTTGTCACAATTATGTGCCAGGTCCTGTGCTAGGCACTGGGTTTGATGAGCAAAAACAAGTATGTTCCCTGTTCGCATGGAACTGATACTCTAGTGGGACAGTTAGACATGAACAGACTTGTATAAATAAATATAAAATTGCCGCTGTAATAAGGACTACAAAGGAGATATACAGGATATCATACAGTAAGGGAAATTTGACCTAGTAAACGGGTTTCAAGGAAAGCTTCCCTGAGAAAGTGATGATTGAGCAGAGATCTGAAAGATGAGTAGGTGTTAACTAGGTGAAAGGGGAGGGAATATGATTCCAACCAGAAAGAAGAGCATATGCAAAAGCCCTGAATGAGGAAAGGGAGCATGAAAGGACTGAAAGTAGGTCAATTTGGCTGAAGTGAAGAGAAAGAGAAGAGTCAGTGCACAGCGAATCTAAGCCAGGTAGGTAGGGTCTTAAAAGCAGTGATGACAAGGAACTTTGTCTTTATTTTAGGAAAGATGGATAGCCATTGAAGCCCTAGGGTTGACATGATCCACTTTGCCTTTTGAAAAGATCACTCTGGGGGCCAGCCCCGTGGCCGAGTGGTTAAGTTCGTGCACTCCACTGTGGCAGCCCAGGTTTTCGCTGGTTCGGATCCTGGGCGCGTACATGGCACCACTCATCAGGCCATGTTGAGGTGGCGTCCCACATGCCACAACTAGAGGCACTCACAACTAGAATATACAACTATATACCAGGAGGATTTGGGGGAGATAAAGCAGAAAAAAAAAAAGATTGGCAACAGTTGTTAGCTCAGGTGCCAATCTTTAAAAAAAAATGAAAAGATCACTCTGACTTGAAGCAAGAAGAGATGATTGAGCATAAGGGTAGCTGTTGGTAGGCTAATTAAGAGTTAGTCACAGTAATCTAGATAAAGAAAAGCTGAGATGAAGAGAAGTGAACAGATTCCAAAAAATGTTTAAGAGAGAAAATAGACCAGATTTAGTGATAGAATGGATGTATGGCAGAGGGGAGGTGTCAAGGTTAGGTTTCTGGGAGGTATAACTGGCTATCATTCCAGCGTACCAATCACCAAGATGGGGAAAATGAACTGGCAGTGCGTTTTGGTAGAGGAAAGATCATATGTTTGGTTTTGGTCGTTTGAATCTGAGATGCCTTTGAAATATCCAAGAGAAGATTAAGTATAACAAGGCATCTCCAATTCAGTCTTTCTTAAAAATAAAAATTTCATTCTTCTTGTTTATAAAATAATGTTTGTTGAAGAATATTAATGCAGAAAAGTACAAATTTTAAAATACCATCTTTAAATCCCACCACCCAGAAATAATTGTCACTAATTTAGATAAACAGCATTCCAGATGTCTTTCTATGTCTGTTTATGAATATGTGGAAATAATTTTATGAAAATGTGATCATACTGTATGTGCTGGTTTGAATCAGAAGTATTAAATTTAATTTTACTTTAACAGAACAAAAACACTGATATGAAGAAGGGATTACGGAACTTTGAATAAATGTTTTTTTTTTTCACTTCAAGAGATATCGTCATTCATTCTTGAGTCAAGCTAAAAATCTTTATCGTAACTTTAGTTTGAAACGTTAGTTGAAAGAGTTTTAGCTTGACCATTCAATTTAGAAGAACTAAGCATTTGGGTCTGATACCAAGCTCTCTTTTAAGTGAGAATTATTTACTTCCATTACATTTATTATTCCCATGTGCATAGGATTTCAGTAATCTCTATACATATGCATAATCACAGTATGATATAATATGAGTCAGGCAGGAATATATTTTCTCAATACTGCCCAAAACGTAATTGTCTTGAATCTAAATTTTCAAAAATATAACAGAAACGTCAGACTTTAAGATAGTGACTAGAAAGGGGTGGGGAGATCACATTTACTGAGCACCTACTGTATGCCAGGCTCTTTCCCCTGTGCCACATTAAATCATGCTCCTCTGTTTCCCAAGAATTATGCAGTAAGATAGGCTATTGTCTGTGGCGCTGAGAGAATGCCTGGGACTGGCAGAAAGAAATAAAAATAGAAGAATAGTACTAGCATGAGGAAAAGAGACACTAAACTGTGAACAGAGATTTAGCAGGGGCCTTCGAGTTAGCTGGAACTGTGTTCAAATCCTCACCTCACTATTAACTTGCTTAGCGGTGTTGGGTGTTCCCAGTTTTGAGCTTCTGTTTCCTCATCTGAAAATGCCTACCTTGCAGAGCAGTTACAAAGATGAAATGAAATAAGGTAGTAACTATGCTTAGCACACACAAAGGTGCTCCAAAAATGGTAAGCACTCATAGTAATGAGAGTAATGGGAGTAGTAAGCCAAAAAGAATAGGAAGGAATATAGATGGGTAAAAGCATCTACCAAATAAACTGATTTGTTTTTTTGTCTTTTTGTTAGAATACTCCATCTACTATGGGCTACACATCAACATGGATTTCTTCTCTGTCCCAAATCCGTGGAGCTGCCCCAACCTCCTTGCCACAAGGACTCTCACTCCCTTCATTTCCTAGGCCATTATCCTCATATGGAATGCCCCATGTTTGTCAGTATAATGCTGTCGGGGGGCCAGGGTATCCAGTACAGTGGGTAGGAATTTCAGGAACACCACAACAGTCTGTAGTAATTCCTACTCAATCTGGGGCACCGTTCCAGCCGGGGATGAATTTGCAGGCGTTTCCAGCTTCATCAGTGCAGAATCCATCCACGATCCCTCCTGGTCCCAAATGAATCAGAGTAGATGATGAAGAAAAGGGAGATTTTTTCAGAATTATTTTCAGGACACCTAAGATATTAAACTTTCTTCTTAGGTTCTGCCATATTTTCCCTTGTTTGAGTTTACTTTTTACTGTATTTTTTTTGTTCCAATGTGGTATTTGATATAGCTCATCATTCTGTAGAACTTTGCAGTTTGTACATAGAACACTGCACGTAGAAATGTTTTTTCACTTCAAAACCTATCCTCTTTGATACTTGATTTTTTAAAAATACCGTTCAGAATGCTTTAATAAGCTCAGCTCGAGCATTACCATTTCCAGGACACTTTCCATGCACTGCCGAGATGCCCCCAGTTTTTACTTCTGCTATCTGCAGCTGGATGATACTTTTCTTTAAAATGTATAAAAACTATTTAAATTGATACTCCCCAAACGTGGATGAAGAGAGACCCTCCAACAGCCGGAGTCTTATGGGATTCTTCACATGTTTATCTTAGGTTTACCTTTCACAGAAGGCAGGGTAACTTGCTGCAGGAAATGTTTTGGTGTATAAAATTAGAATAACTTTGTCAACCATTATAGAACATGAGCCCTTTTTAATGTGATTTTCTTCCCGTCTTCACAGCAGTAGGAGTGAAGCCTTGTTTTAGGTGAGGCGGAGAGAAAGGTAAAAAACAGAACTGTAACAGTTCCTTGATTCTGCAGATACTGTAGCTGCTTTAGGATTTCAATAGTAATTCAAAGCAGTTAGCTCCTTGTTTCTCATGTGCACATTACATTGTTTTTGAGCATCTGAGAGGCATTGGTTGGCTTGCATTCTTTTGCAAGGGATATATTGCAGCTGATATGAATCTCATTTTGGGGGGAATCTTTGTATTCCTAAGAAAGACAATTCAAGTTTCACCTGTATTGATCCATTCTTCTGAAATGAAATTTACTTGACACAGTAGGTTTTGTAGGTTTTGAGACTTACACATGAAACACTGGCTTTACAGGGTTCTAAGAGATGTGGGGTATACATTGTCGTGCAGTGAGATAGCAGACCCTTGAAGGATACTATTTAAGTTGCCCTTAGCTTTTTTGGATTACCATTTTTTTAGTTGTTATAAGTTCTTGTTAGTATCTATAGCATTTTAGATGATTTTAGATCTTAGATGATTTTGGCAGCCTCTTTAGAATCTGAGAGAGATCACTGTCAAGTTGCACTTTACTGGGTTTTATCCAGTTTTAGGAGGAGGGGAGGCAATGTCAAAATAGACACTTATAGTTTTCAAGAAGGTTAACTGTAATAATGTTAAAAGGCTGGTCACAGAGTTACCTAATGCTCAGTCTGTGAAACCCAATAGAATTCTTAAATGGTATTTATCAACTACCACATATACATGTTTAAAATGATTACTTTCCACTCCGAAGATTTCAAGGTCATTTCTAGTACACGTTTACCTAATAACAAGTTCCGTCTACTGGTAAACATTCCAAATTATCACCTAATACTTCTGTTAACAGATCTTCCTCTATATTCCTCTAAAAATTTTACCCCGTGAGCTTGCCAGGTAATGAGGAAAACTTAATGGATATACTTTTTTTTTTTTCGCACAGTCTACTTTGTGACATTCAGTACCCTTTTTCAAAAAATGTGTCTTATATTACTTACCCGAGGATCACACTTGCCATCATGAAGATTCTGTCGCCATCATTTGGGGCATCTAGGGCAGCATTTTGAGAACTGCTGTTGATAGGAGCCACAGTTTCTTTTCATAAAACATACTCTTGTTTGGATGAGTCTTTCTAAATCTTATGTACAGATTCTTGAAATTTCTTCTACAGTTTTGGTTTTCAAGTTGAAGTGAGTTTTGGACATTAGTGTAATGCAAATGCTTGCATTGCAGTGTTTTCCACGTGTACAAAAACAATGCACCTAAAATCTGAAATTCTTTAAAACTGCTCGTGTTTCATTATAAGAGTTGGCTTTGTGTAATTACATTGAGACTTACAACCTATAAAGTGAAAATACTGCAGGTTTTAAGATCTCTTCTTCTGTAGTCGCAGTCCTTTTAAAGTGTACCCCAGGATGAAAAAAGCTCCATGGATGACATGCACAATTACATTTATTAATGGCTGCTCTACATCATATGTCCCACATTTTGCCACCACCTCTGTTTTATATATATAATTCATCATTTGTTCGCCTGCAGACTTTTGCAGTGCCTTGTAATGTTTAGAATCTTTTCAGATTTTTTGCTGGAAAGAAAAGTAGTCTTCTAAAGTTTGAAGATGGTGAATAGTGTACAGCTGTCTCCATGCTGACTGCAGTAGCTGGGTTAACATATGTTATGTATACATTATGTATATGTAACGTAAATTTAAAAATACAGAAAAAAGTGAGTTTGTGCAGAAATGAAGAAAACAGTGTTCTTCACACCACTGTGGATTTTTATTCTTTCCCATTACTTAAATGTTTGATTCAGATTATAGTCACTTTGACTGTAAATATTGGCTAGTTTTCTACCTGGGGGTTTTGCATTATTTTATAATTTTGCTAAATCATATAATAGTGCTGTTTTCATCCTTGCTGAGGTACTTTTCCTCCCCAGAAGTAATTAGTTCTTGAGGCAAAGCTCAGAAATTCCCTTCTTACTTAACAAAGAGCCTACTACCCATGTCCAAACAAGACACAACCCTGTCCTTTTCATTTTCCTTCTTGTAGAAGAGAAAAAAGTTGTACTAAACCATCCTGCTTGTAAAATTTATTTGAGGGGTAGTCTGTATGTCCAACCACCATGTTTACTTCTCAAAGTCCAAGTCTGATGAATAGTACTGTATCTCCATATGTGGCAATGTGAGCATTTCATCATGAAGTACCTGCTGCTATGTTTGTGAAGTTGGCTGTAACATCATAAGAATATGAAACCAGTATTGGTGTAAACCTAATGAAAATAACCCTATGTATATTTGTAGCAGTCTTGAATCTCTATTTAAGGTAATTTGCTGTAATATAACAAATGCCCATTCTGTTTTTCATCCTTTTCTTGCCAATTTTATATCAAGCATGAATTCTAATGGTTTGACAGCAAAATTATCTGTGAAAGTTTAAAAAGCACTTTTCTGCTGCGATTTTTGGATTGAGTGTGGAGTGTTATGTACAGTATGATGGGATGTATCATTTTAGAACCCTAGATTTAATTCCAGTCCAATTACTTTTGTTTATCTACCTCGTTTTCAGTGCTGTTTTGGGGTGCACAAGTAAACACTGCCTGTGAAACTTGCTTTTTTGCCTTGATTCTCAGTATTCTTTCAGGTTATAAATCTGGCCTGCCTCCTTGTCCCAGTGCTATGATTTGGGATGAGGGGTACTATCACTCTGCCACCAATCTGTGTTTAAATGACGAGAGCCATGTGCCTCTACAAAATAAGCTTTGGGGATCTGGGAATAGACAACAGAGAATAAATCCAGCTGGTGGCAATAGAGGACTTAGTTGTAAAATAAACAAATGGTAAGAAAGTATCTAAATTAGACAGTCCAGTGCCTGTAACTTTGCATCTTTTATTAGAGATGCATTTCTTGTCTGTGCCTAAAGGGCTATGGTTGAAATTGCTTTAACTACCACAGTGAAATATTTGACAAATCCTACAGCAGTGGCCTGTCATTCAGCATATTAGCATACTGCTAGGTATTTGCAGTGATATTTTGTTACCTTAAAATGGCTGTATGCTTTTAGTTGAATTGTAGTTGGTGGTAACCGTTTATCCAATCTCTAAAGTTTATTGGAGGCATTGACTTCTTTGCTCTCTTTTCTGAGTGATGAAAATGATGCATTCCTTTTTTTCCCCAGAAAACTCAGCAAATGTTTGTAAACCACATGTTCCTTGTTTCACATGTTTACTGTGTAACACTACAGCATATTTAATGTTAGTAAATACCGTATTTCAGACATCATGCACAAGTACATTCCTGAGGTATATTTGCCATCAGTTTGGGATTCAGTTATTTAATCTTCTCTTTGGTTTAGAAAAACTTGAGATATTTGAGGTGGGTATGCAGTCCATTTTCTAGACTAGATTGTTCATTTTTCATTCTTTAGTTTATGGGGACTTGTTTTTCCCCCCTTTGTTTAGAAGATGAACCAGAAAGGGGGCTGGAGTGTGGTGTGGAAAAGGCCATTGATTTGGTAAATGTAATTTCTGGGACTGAATTTTTTTTAAAAAGAAAAAAACAATCCAGACTGTAAAATGGTGACCACTCAAACTTGGTGAAACCCTTTGAAGTGAAATTAGTATGAAATTTTTAGGGAGCCAAATGCTTTCAGGTCACCCTGGAAATAGTCTTTGTATGCAAAGGATGAACACAAACATTGGTCAGGGTCCTTGACAGCCAACATAGACAGTGGCCTGGGATAGTAGCTAGGTTACATTGAAGTTATTTTCAGCTGAGATAGCTGGAAGAATGTACAAACCAACAGCTCCCATTCTGGCAGGTTTTCTTTTAATTCAAAAAAAACAACTCAAACAAAAAGGCTAAAAGTCAAGCAAGAGGGGAAGTGAGAAACTGAGTTCTAGAGAAAAAATGTGCCAGTGTAAAATAAACTCATAAATGTGTGCTTGTCATCCTTCCAGTTTTTTTTTTTTTTAGTTGCATTTCTTTTCTACTATAACTTAAGATTTCAGATTGAGGTTTGTGGTTCAGAACAGACCCTCAGCAGAAATAGTGACTGATCGGAAAGTGCAGTTAGTTGTTCAAGGTCTGTCATGCTCAATCACCTAAAGCTGTAATTTGTTTGATATGAATATTAAGCATGTAGACCTAGTGCAGCATGGGAACCACTCAGGAAGTTTATGCAAATAATAAACTTTCATGCATAATTTACTATGAAGTATGCAGAATTTCAGCCACTTCTCTACACTTAACATTTAGTTGTATATGTGAAATCTCCTTTCTTAATTGGGGAATGTAGCATTATATAGAATGTTCTTAATTTTAATCTTTCTTGACATTAACTTTTTATTTTTATTATTTTTTTTGGTAAACCAAGTGCTCTGTCTTTAAGCAGTTGTCTGATTTTGGTTCTTTGAAACTGTGATTTTTATTTCCTTTGTACCCAACCATTATAAGTATTTTGTTTCCTGGAAATTTTGTTTTGAAACAGAAAATAAAGGCTGTGTTAAAATGAGTATGCTATCTTATTAAAATGCTGTCATAGTCACTGCAATCATCTGGCTTAAACTGGCTCTTCATTTACCATATGTAAGTTAGCAGACTTTAAAATTTGGTCCTATAGATTATGCTGGCTGAACAAACTAACCAAGCTGTGTGTTACCTCTTGATTTATAACTCAAACAAATTTTGAGTTGGACCTCTTCTCCACACTTGTAAATGAGCCATAATTGTAATAGTCACTATGATTTACTGAGTACCTATTCTGTTAGGTTTTTACCTGTGATATTTTTAATTTATAAAACAGTCTTCTAAGCTAGGTCTGTTACTATCTCCACTTTACAGAGAAAATTTGAGGATCAGCGAGATTAAAGAATTTACCAAGGTAACATAGCTAGTAAATGATGAAGCCTGGATCCAAACCCAGGTCCATCTGACTCCAAAGCTCATGGGAAAAACCCTGGGACATACTGACTCTCGGATGCACTGCATGAATAATAATTCAAATACATTTAGAATAGATTTTCAACTAATTATTAGGATTAGCATGTACACTTTCTATATATCTTTCATGAGGTTGTGCCCAGTGTTTGTTTCATAATTTCAGGAGTAGAAGTATTTGTTTATGGTATGAGCAGGGATTCAAAGTGTGCCCATTGCACAAACTTATTAGGTAGTATTTCCTTTCATATTGACACTGTTTATGGTCCACCTTTAGGAAAAAAGTGCATTTGGAAATCTCCCTCCTGTATCGCTCATTCACCACACTACAGTCACTTGGGAAACTGTCAAATGAGGTCAGATCCCTTGTTCATTTGATAATTTAGGTAGAAGAATCATGCATATGTTTATGCAAACAGCCCTGGAGGAAGAGTAAGAGAACTATCAGAAATATTCAAAATTAAACGAGAATTTTTAAAGTGTTTTTAAAAATCTATTACCTTGGTTTATTGACCCAGTGACTCTGAGGTATTCTATCTTTAGGTGATCCCTAAAGGGAGGATACAAGGTACATAGTGGGACAAGCATGGGTTTTTTGATTCACAGACCTCTCAAACCTCTATTTTCTCATTTGTAAAATGAGGTGGTTGAATTAAATGAGATATGTAAAGGCAGCTACCCCTGTCCCTAATTTGCTAATTATGCTTATTGTTAGATATCTCTGGTGACTTTCCCACTAAACCTGCACTTGGGATATCAGGCTGGTTTGGAAATGGGCCCTGATTCTTACTACAGTTAGTACAGATACATTTTGGAGTCCAGCAGACCTAGATTTGTATTCTAGTTTTGTGAACTTGGGAAAATTACTTAACTTTTCAGCTTCAATTTCTTTATCTGTAAAAAGGATAAGTGCCTCAGTGGGGTTGTTTTGAGACTAAATGAAAAAGCATATAAAGGGCTTTTCACTATGCCTGATACATAGTAGCCTTGCTCAAATAATAGTAATGACTACTGAAGGGACCTCACATATCACTATTTTAAGAGAAGAAGAAACAGTCATAAAGAGGTGACAAAACTGAACCCAACCTGTGAGTCAATGTGAGGTCTGTTGGTGGAACAGTTTAGGTACTGGCCCAAAAGGTGCTAGTTGATGTAATAAAGTGAGCTTCAGAGGTGAAAGTGTTTAAGTTGGGGGATAAGACAACATACAACCCATTTAAAATGTGCCATCATTAATGAGCACCACTAGATAAAAGAATGAGATGACAGAATTAGGTCTGTGACTACAGCCTTTAGAAGGAGCTGAAGTCATAGTAGTTGGGGAAAAGGTGGGTCTATGACAAGAGCTCAAGACAGAAATGAAAAAGTACAGTATAGATGATGGGCCAAATAGGAGCAGGGCCTTGGGATAGACAGATGAAGAACTGGAAAAGGACTCACTCACATGCATGTTACAAACGCGGAAATAGGCTCAGGAAGTTAACCAGGGTTTGTAAGGTGTCTCCATTCCAGCTCAAAGGTTCTCAACCCTGACTGCATATTAAAATCACCTGGGGAGCCATTTAAAAAAATTAGTCTTGTGCCAGCCCCATGGCCGAGTGGTTAAGTTCGCCTGCTCTACTTCGTAGCCCAGGGTTTCACTGGTTCAGATCCTGGGCGCAGACATGGCACTGCTCATCAAGCCATGCTAAGGCAGCATCCCACATGCCACAACTAGAAGGACTCACAACTGAAAAAATATATACAACTATGTACCCGGGGGGCTTTGGGGAGAAAAAGGAAAAATAAAATCTTTAAAAAAATTAGTCTCTGGGCCAGGCTGGTGGCGTAGCTGTTAAGTTCGCACATTCCGCTTCTCAGTGGCCCGGAGTTCACCGGTTCGGATCCCGGGTGTGGACATGGCACCGCTTGGCAAGCGCCATGTTGTGGCAGGTGTCCCACATATAAAGTAGAGGAAGATGGGCATGGATGTTAGCTCAGGGCCAGTCTTCCTCAGCAAAAAAAAGAAAAAATAGGAGGATTGGCAGTAGTTAGCTCAGGGCTATTCATCCTCAAAAAAAAAAATTAGTCTCTTGGTTGCACAACAATGTGACTAGACTTACACTACTGAACTGGTAGTTTTTACTACTCAAAAATGGTTAAGATGGTAAATTTTATGTTATATGTATTTTACCACAATTTAAAATAAAAAAAAATAGCGTCTGGGTCCCATTCCTATAATCAGTATTGTTTTTAAAAGCTCCCACGTGATACATTAGTATCATATATATTAATGTGTACATATTTTATGTATATATATTATGTGTATGTTACATATACATATTAATGTAACTAGGGTTGAGAACCAGTGTCATTGTTTCCTATACTAATCTAATGACCTCCCTGCTATTTAGCCAGTTGCTGGCTCAAGAAACATAAGCAATATGGCAGCCTCATTAGACGTTCTAATGAATTAGTTCCACTAACCATATGAGCTTATAGCCTCTTAAACAGGCCCCAAGGATTTGGCCAATAAAGAAAGCTAAGTGGGCCTCTTGCAGAAACTGAACAGCTAGTTACTAACTTAGGTGGAAGATGCCATAAGACTGAGTCTAATATGAACTCTCCATGCAACCTCTTTCTGCTTCTCTCTACCCTTCATGATGAGAATTAACATTTATTAGGCGCTTTCTGTGTCAGTTATGCTAAGCACTTTACTATGTCATTTAATCTTCACAAGCTTCTGAGGTAAGTGTCATTACCATCTCCCTTCTAAGCTCCTTGACTGTCTTGAAAACTGCTTTCTCTCAGTGCCCAGCTTTATTCCCGGATGTAGTTGATACCAAATAAATCTGTTGAATAAATTGATGAGTTCACAGATACAGTAGGGCTCAAGAGGTTAGGTAACTTGTTAAATAGCTTGTAAGGAGTTGAGCTCGTATTGGAACCCAGATCTTGGCTCCAAAGCACACACTTTTAACCAGTAGTCTGTGACATCCACTATCTCCTTCTGCTGTCAGGGCCTCTGTTATCTCTACTCTGTATGGCCTATGTCCAGCATAAAGTTTTTCCTGTATTATATATGTTAAGACTCTTGTCTGTAAGTAATAGAAACCCAATTTGAACAAGCTTAAGCAAAAAGGAATTTATTATAAAGATGGCAGTGTCTCACAAAACCCAAGGAGCATACAGTTGGGCCTTAGGAACACATAAATCAGGTGCTTGAATGCAGCCAGGATTTTTCATCTCTCCTCCTCCACCTTAATCCCAGATTCTCTGGGAAGGTACATAAAGGATGGGTCCTGATACAATCAGGAGGATAAGGTAGAGAAGGTGGTAGAAAAGGGGTGCTGTGGAGACAATACAATAGATGTTCACCTAGCGTTTTCACCTTGACTGCCCCATAAACATATATGCTATTTCCCTCATATCTACGATTCCAAAAATGCCTGCACCTAATATAATCCATGGACAACTGCACGTCACATGCAACTACTGCATCCAGAAGCAATAGTATGGCATGGACATGCCCCTTCCTCATCTAGTTCAGTGACAATCTAAATGTGGCTCCTCTTGATCCTGCAACCTTTGATCAACTTAACTGCCACCACCAGATCTAACATGTAATAGTAGAGATAGATTAACCACAATCAAAACTCTCTTTTAGGAAAGGAGAGGGGCACACCATTATCAGCCACCAGGTCTGAGTATGCACCATTTCCACCTGGATAGGAATAAAGGAAATAAATTACAGGCATAGAAAAACTTATCGGAGTCAACGTATTGATGCACCCTCTTGCTTAACCAGTCTGTACTTGGGCCTAGGGCATGCTCTAGAAGAGCAGTGATTCTCAAACTTGATAGTGCATTAAAATCACCTGGAGGGCTAGTGAGACCTGCAAAAACTCTTGACACAAGTACTCCATTTAAACACCAGTACTAAGAGACTTGACCTAACTTTAGCATGGTTTCTAGCTGCCTAAGGCTGAATCCCTGGGATGACCCAGTTCCCATCTGGAAAAGCTCAGGGCTGTCAAAAGAATTTATAGTTTGCTCTTGCCAACACCTGACATAGGCCCCTGACCTCCTTTCTTAGAGCATTTATTAAAAAGCTCTTACAATTGTGAATTCTTCCCCTGTCACTTTGTATATATATCTCCTACAACTCTGGAGTGTCTCTCAAAGACCATTCCTTTGAATTGTAATCATCAGGAAGGCTAGGGCCTCTGTCTCCTTGTATCTGTGGGAGGATAGACTCCTGTCTTCGATAATTGCCAGCTAGCAGACACAGCTGCCTGATTGCATTTACACTGACCAACCCTTTGTAGTTTTTCACTTCCCTGACTTTACTGAGCCCCTGCTTGCTCCTCTACCTTTCCTCATTCTCCCTTTAAAACGCCCAGTTACCTCTGCAAAAATGGAAATGGAGCTCTGCTCTTTCCCCTACCGACAGTAGTTACTGAGTAAAATCTGTTTTCACTGCTTTAACTAATGTCAGACTTTGTTTATCTTTAATTTAAACCACGGATTGCTGGCTCCACCCCCAGAGTTTCTGATTCTGGAAGTCTGGAGTGAGGCCCAAGAATTTACACTTTTAACAGTTCATTGG